TCACGGATTGGGGACGGGTCGTTTTCAAAATGCGGTTCTCGCTTTGGTGCGGCGCACATTCGTTTTAAACATTTGGACGGGCTTCGCGGATTGAGGGTGGTTCCTTTTGAAAATGCGGTTCTCGCGTAAGCGTTGCGCACAGTCTTGCTAAACATTGGCAAGAGTTTCACGGATTCTCATCAGCATCGTACCAGAAACTTTGTTGTGGAAGGATTCTGGATTATACGGGCGCAACAGTTATGTTGATTCGCGGTGTCGAAATCCCAAAAACGGCGTTCTGGCATGATTCTAGATCGTCAGGGCGCAGCAGTCAGGTTGATCCGTGGCGTGGAAATCCCGAGAAGAATGCTTTGGCATGCTTCAAGGTCTTCAAGCGGGTGCCTTCCAACGAGGCAGTTCCCTCAATGAAAGTGAACCGCTGTAGGGGCCTAGGAAGAGGGAGCTCGGAGGGAGGTTGTACTCCAACATCGTTGGTGATTCTTGGGTTTACACTGGTCCTCCTCATCGTCCTCCTCCTCCTCCTCCTCCTCTTCCTCCGCCTCCTGCTCCTCCTCCTCCTCCTCCTCCTCCTCCTCCCCCTCCTCCTCCTCTTCCTCCTCCTCTCCTCCTCCTCGTCCTCTTCCTCCTCCTCCTCCTCCTCTTCGGTTTCCTCCTCCTCTTCCTCCTCCTCTTCGTCCTCCTCCTCCTCCTTAATTGTTCTTCCTTCTGAAAATCTTCTCCCTGTCGCACCCCGAGGCCAGTTTTTAGGGCAGGTCGGGCGGTTCGCTTGAGATTTCCTCACCAAGTCTGATCCTGAAGCGTAAAAATCACAACAGCTTCACAGATGGGGGGCGGGTCGTTTTCAAAATGTTGCGTTCGCCCTAGCGCCGCGCACACTCCTTTTGAAAATTTGCAAGAGCTTCACGGATTGAGGGCTGGTCATTTTCAAAATGTAGTTTTCGCTGTAGCGCCGCGCACATTCGCTTCAAAAACGCAAAGAGCTTCACGGATTGAGGACGGGTCGTTTTCAAAATGCGGTTCTCGCTTTAGCGCGGCACACATTCGTTTTAAACATTTGGACGGGCTTCGCGGATTGAGGGTGGTTCTTTTTGAAAATGTGGTTCTCGCGTAAGCGCTGCGCACAGTCTTGCTAAACATTGGCCACGAATTCTCATCAGCATCGTACCAGAAACTTTGTTGTGGAAGGATTCTGGATTATACGGGCGCAACAGTTATGTTGATTCGCGGTGTCGAAATCCCAAAAACGGCGTTTTGGTATGATTCCAGATCGTCAGGACGCAGTCAGGTTGATCCGTGGCGTGGAAACCCGAGAATAATATTTTGGCATGCTTCAAGGTCTTCAAATTTTCGTCTTCCAAAGAGGCAGTTCCCTCAATGAAAATGAACCGTTGTAGGGGCCTAGGAAGAGGGAGCTCGGAGGGAGGTTTCACTCCAACATCGTTGGTGATTCTTGGGCTTACACGGGTCCTCATCCTCCTCCTCCTCCTCCTCCTCCTCCTCCTCCCCCCCTCCTCCTCCTCGCTCCGCCTCTCCTCCCCCCCTTCCTCCTCCCCCTCCCCCTCCCCCAGCGCCCAGCCCGCCGCGGCAGCCGAGCCGGCTCGGCGCCGAGGCGGCCAGAGGCCCCCCGTTGCCCGGCGGGGCCGGGGCGGGGGCAGGGCCAGGTGCGCTCGGGGGAGGACAGGAGGCCCCGCGCTTGCCCTTCCTCCCTCCTCCTCCTCCCCCCCTCCTCCTCCTCCCTCCCTTCCGCTCCTCCTCTCGCCCCTCCTCCTCCTCCTCCATCCTCCTCTTCCTTCTCTCCCCTCCGGCCTCCTCGCTCCTCCTCCTCTCCTCCTCCTCCTCCTTTCGTCGCCCCTCTCCTCATCCTCCTCCTCCTCCTCCTCCTCCCCCTCCTCCTCCTCCTCCTCCTCCTCCTCCTCCTCCTCCTCCTCCTCCTCCTGCCTTTCTCCTCCTTTGGGAGGCCCCGCGCTTGCCCTTTCCGACGCCCGAGACCTGCAGCGACCGGGGCCTCCCACATTTCGAGCAGTGGCGAAGCGTCCCGGCTCGCCCATAGCCCTACCAAACAGTCGGCTAGACGTAACAGTGACCTTTCGCCAGAGTGACCTTTGGTGCGGGCACAGATGGGCCCTCAGATGGCTGAAACGAAGCGGTAGCAGCGGTTTGCGCGCCCAGGTTTGGTCTCCCCGCGGCCCCCAAAAAGCCGCGCACCAAAGGTCACTCTTACCCAGGGTCACTCTTGCGTGTAGCCGAAACAGTGTTCTAAGAACCTTTTGTGGCTTCCACGACATGTTTTTAGAACATGTCTGGCGGAGCGTGTCTTGGTTGAACGCATCGGGATCATGTTCTAAGAGCATGGCTTTTGTTCTTAGAACATTTTTGGGGTTCTAAGAACATTTCGTGGTAGGACTGCTGGGACGGTCGGTCCCTGCTCAACACATGGGTTCCGAGTTCGGTCGGACCGAGGTATTTCGCGCAGCCAGCTTTTTATAAACAAACAAATCGCGACGGGAGGCTGTTTTGCTGTGTTCGGCCTCTGGGGGCCCTTCCCGAGCCTCGAGGCTGCCAAGGAACGGCGCGGGAGGAAGAAGCGGTCCCGGGGAAGGGGTCCAGACCTCTGGGGGTCGACGGAAGATCGATGTTCGAGCTTGGGCCCAGACGACCGAGATATCAGATCGAGATCTGTTCGGGGAGGGTGCCCCGATAATCTTCGTGTCTGGTAGATGTGTTCGTGCATCCCATGGTGGAGGGCACCCTCGAGTGTTCGTCAGGTTTGCGCTGGCGGAGGATCTCATGTCCTTAAAAGGATGCTTTTCTGTCCGAGGTCCGAGCGTAGATGGGGTCGGAGGATTGCGCCGCATCGCCGATGCGGCTCGATGCGGGGCCCCAGTTTCTGCACGCCGACGGCGCCGATGCATCGCCGACGTCCCCGATGCAACGGTGACGCGGCGCGATCATCCGACCCCGATCCCACCTAGACGACCCCATCGAGGAGGCCTCTAAATTCCTAAGCGACTTGAGAAAATCAGGACAGAGAGTTCTCGTCATTTTCGGCCTCTGGGTGCCCTCTCCGGGCCGGCTCGGTGTGAAACACCTTGCCTAGGGAAAGGAGCGGGATTTCCGAGGAACCACGCGTTGAGAAATCTGGACGTCGCATGTCGGGCGAGTTCACTTGCGTGGCTCCGGGCCCCAGCGAGGTTCGGGGACATATCCAAGAGGGGGGGTGTAGGGCTGCGGGCCAGGGGTATGAGGCAGTTTTCGTTGGCCCTTGGAGGTTCTCTTTCCTCGGGATGCTTTTAAGCACCTGCGCCTCGCCGATCCAGAGGTGCTCGGATCGCCCCGAATGGCCGCCAGGTCCGCGAACCACCAGTGCTGCCAGAGTTGGGGCCCTCAAGCGGCGCGGTGACCATACCGTGTGGTGAGTCAGTGGGGGTTCGGGGGGGGCGCAAGGGTTTGGGACGCGGGTTGTTTTCCGAGGACGTCTCGGGCGATGCAGGCCTCGGAGGTCCCAGAACCTTGCGGTGACGGACCGTGCGGTGAGGCCGCCTGGGAGTTCGAGGCCACCGCACGGTCTGTCGCGGCACCGCTTTGGGACCGCCAACTCTACCCCCCCCCCCTCCGCCGCCGTCTTCAGCAGCGCGCTGGGCCGAAAAGGCGCGCAGGCTTGTCCCGGCGTGCGTGGAGTTTACATCGGAGCACAGTGCCGTTTTTGTTTATCATGTTCCGCATGCGGATCCTGTATGAAAAATGCAGGGACTTAGTATTGAAAACAACGAGGAGTTCATGCATAAATTTATGCATGAAGTAATCACGTATTAAAAATCCTATATGTTTAAAAATCCGATGTATTAAAAACGGCCCTGTAGAGTCTCATCCGGGCCTCGCCACGCCCCCACGCAAATAACCTTGCCAGAGTCTGTTGCACACAACCTCGACGACACGCTGCGCGAGGGGCCGCGGCCATCGGGCTTGCCTTGCGCCATCGTGGGGGGGGGGGGGCACTGTGCAGTGGCAGCGCGTGCCCGCGTGACAACACACGGTGGGGGCTGCGTCCATGGAGCTTGAACTTGCCGTACTGGTGGCACCCCAACATACTAACATTGTGTGTGTGTGCGTTGCCCGCCCCCCCCCCCCGGGGGGGCGACGCGCGAGCCGAGAAATCTTACAGTGTATGCGTCGGGGCGGGCGCTTTTTCTGGCCGTACCGCTCGGAAAATTGCATGCTACAAGATGGTCATACTATATGTTCTGGTCGGACGCACGCCCCCGAGGAGGACACATCGTACCAGCATGTCTCTGTGCGCCCCACCGTAGTCGGGTATAGCCAGGACCCCAGTGAAGGGGACCCGGTTAATGGGCCCCGGAGCCCTTGAGCTGGCCAGAATCACTAAACCAGGTCTGCCGTAGCTGGTGTTGCTTCGGGTGACGGCAGCTCTGGTTAGTGGAACGGGGCGGGGAGGCGCCCCCCAGTGCACATCACTGAACCAGGTTCCACGGAACCACTGGGGCCTTAGGTAGAGTTCCATATGAGGCCAAGAAGCGTGTGAAGGATTGTGGCGAAAAGGGGCTGCGGTACCATGCGAACCCTCCCACTGGCGCCTGAGGTGGAGCTCCCAATGGGGGCCACGAAGCGTGTGTGGGTTGTGCCGAACTGGGGCGGCGGAACCCGGTTCCGCCAACGCCCGACGCAGTCTGAAGAACAATGGCCTTTGCCCGCCGTGAACACATAGGTGTTTGTTTGGTCTCTCTCTCTCCCTCCCTCTCCTCCTCCCTCTCGCTCTCTCTCTATCTCTCTCTCTCCCTCCCTCTCTTTCTCTCTTCCCTTTGTCTTTACTGCTCGCAGGATTGCAGAAAGACCCTGGATTGCAAAAAAACCCTCGACGAAGGGTTTTTTTGCAATCCTTCGGGTTTTTTTGCAATCCTTCGTTTTTTGCAATCCTTCGATGCGTGGACCCCGCCGCAGTCTGAAGAAACATTGCCTCCAGCGCCCCCGCGGCCGGCGGAGCGATGTCGTTCGCGGACTCCCTCACGAGGATCGTCGCGGAGAAGAGGGCGGAGCAGGCGCCCCGCGGGCCCGGCGGCCGCCGCGCGGGGAGGAGGGCGAGGAGGAGGAGGGGGAGGGGGAGGAGGAGGAGGAGGAGGAGGAGGAGGAGGAGGAGGAGGAGGAGGAGGAGGAGGAGGAATAGGAGGAGGAGGAGGGGGAGGAGGAGGAGTGGAGGAGGAGGAGGAGGAGGAGGAGGAGAGGAGGGAGGGAGGAGGAGGAGGAGGAGGAGGAGGAGGAGGAGGAGGAGGAGGAGGAGGAGGAGGAGGAGGAGGAGGAGCACCACAGCCAGCCGAGGAGGCCATCCAATTCGGCATGCAAAAACAAGCAAACGAGTTAATCCTCGCCGAACTCTCCAAGTTCGGGGGCACTCGCCTCGCGTTTCCTCCTATCAAGGACCCGCTGCCCGAGGCTCTCTGCCTCGGCGCGGGAGGGGAATCCAAAAAGGGCGAGCCCCCTAACGAGGTCGACCCCGCACCCGTGAACAGTGCTGGGAGGGGGTCCAAGGGGAGGTGCGCCATCAAGACCGAGCTTCGCGGCCAAGAACTCCCGAGAAGCATCAGAGAGGGCAGCGGCCGCCCCCACACGCCCGTTCTTTCGGGACGGGTGTTTGCCACGCAAAATCCAAGCCAATTGCCTCTCGCGACCTTCAGTGCGGGCATCAAGGCAATTCGACACCAGAGCACTCCTGCCCCAGGACGGCCCTGGGTGGCCGACCGAGCCGCAACTCGTGCAGAAAACTATGGATCCCTGAGGGGACCCATCCGGTCCGGTCACCGGGGCCTCCAGGCAAACGTGGCCGCGGGCACGCCAGGGCCTGAGCAGGCCCCACGCCTCTTCGCTAGGCGGCGGAGGGGCGCCTAGCAAGGCGGGTCCCAGCACCGCGCCTGCCGGCGCCCCCTCGCGATCGTCATCCTCCCCCGCCCCACACACAACAATGGACGACCGCGACGATCCACCACCCTCATCTTTAGCACGGAGCTCGGCAAGCTCGTCCAGGGCCCCGACGGGGAGGAAGGGCCCGAGCTCAACATGCTTTAGAAAGTCGAGGGGAACATTGTCAAAAACTTGGCTATCAGCTATCCGGGCCTCCTGCCGGGCTCCGAATCGAGCAGCCTGCCTGGCAATCTCGTGACAGCCAAGAATTACAAGACGGTCGGCGGCAGCACACCTGTTCAGTTCAGCCCCCTGGCGGGCGAACTCGTCCGCCGCGCGGTTGCCGAGCCACTGGTAACGGGTAAGCTTGCCATTAAAGACATCATCTTCCTTGCAGTGGGCAGGGACTTTGACAACGGAGACCCCGTCGAGCTTATCAAAAACTTGGGCCCACCAATGGGCCCGTGGATTGTCGGGTCCGGCTGCGGACCTAGGGTCTCGGGCGCAATCAACGGTGCTGGCGCAATCTATATGGAGCTGGCAGCCCGGGAAGACAACCGCGTTCAACACCAGCTGGAGGACCGCGTAGTCCTCGCCATCCCGGGCCGCCTGGAGCGGCGCCTCGGACGAGGGGACCGTGCCCCAGATGCATGATCGACCCCCCCCCCACCCATCCGTAACAACCACAGCCCATCCCGCCGCCCTTAGAGACGGGATGTGGCCCTCGAAGGCCGAACCGTCGGTGAACACCTCCATCCCGGCCTCCAGCACCAGTCCGTCTGCAGGCAAATTACAACGATGCATGAAACAGGAGGTGGGATCCGAGAGAGGTCGCGAAAACCACGCCGCCGGGTCAGGGAAGAGGGCCCTGGAGAAGAGCTCCTGGGCCTGGAAAGACAAGCGACCTACACACTGGGCAGCGGCGGCCAGCTCCGGCGATAGCTCTTCGCGTCGCCACGCGGCGTGCGCAGGGCAGCAAAATCGGCGATGGAAGATCGATCCTCGGAGCTCGCCGCACAGAAGACAATTCGGGCGGATATCTTTGCACTTCTCTGAGAAACGCTGCTGGCACCAATAGCGATTGGCCAGCATGCCGCGGAGCACATGCTGGTGGTGGGAGGTCCAACCTTCCGTCTTTTCACAAGCGAGAAGTACCTGGGCAGGTCTAACACATATGGGGCCCGCCCATTCCCCGCAGAAACTGGTCTGCCGACGCTGCTCCTCCAGAACGATGGCGTCCCAACAAGCTCGCTTGCCGAGCTCGGCAAAAAAGGCTGGCGAGAAACGGCCGAGGTCCCATTTTTTTCCCCAGCGATCGATCAGCGCCGAAGCCGAGAGATCTAAGTCCCAGCTCACCCGGCGCAGCGTGAGAAGCAGAGCGGCAATTGGCTGCTTGACGGCGCTCCACGGCTGGGTCTTACCAAGAGTCTCTCGGGCATCAGCAAGGGCCGAATCGAACACCGGACGGGGGACCGATCGGTGCCACCACACAGAAACAAACGTTTTGACCGCAGCCACCGTGACGTGCACAAAAGGATCACGAGTCCAGTCCGCGCTGAACAGCAACGAAAAACCCAAGGACGAACCTGGCTGCAGCGAGCCCGTGCTGCGGGCTGCCGCAACTCTCAAGGTCCTCAAGGCCGAACTACTGACTCCGAGGATGGGCGCGCCCCAACACGCTTTGGCCGCTGGGCCAGCCCGGAACACCCGGGCGGCTTCTTTGCCGCGGCCAATATTCTGGAGCCTGCGTGCGGCCGAGAGGGCAGCCGAAGCCCTGGATAACTGGATGGGGATCCTGCGCCGACTCCCGTCCAGGGCGTCGCCTCCTAAATCGCGGTGGCAATCTGAAAGCAGGCTTACATCTAGCGGCCACTTTGGATCCTCGAGGAGCTTGTCCAGGAGGGCGTTGTCCGAAACCATGAAGCAAGTTTTACCGAGGTTGAGGGGTAGCTCAAGCTGCTGCAAAATACGCAGGACCAGGTTGACGGCCCGCACAAGCTGGGCCGCCACTGTGAGGATGCCCCCTACCGCGTGCAACTTAATGTCATCTACCAAATTCAGGGGTCGACAAACAGGAGTTTCAACCGCAACCGTCCGTAACACACAAAGCGTCATTAGTTTGACGACCCCCGTAGCGCAACTGCACCACGCCACCACTGTTCCGTTGGGGTGCACGGCCCGCGAGGTGGCCGAAAGCCATCTCACTCGGCGGGGCCCGCGGTACAGGGAGCATAGGGAGCGAAGCAATCCAAGATCAAATGAATAGTGCACCGCCGCTTCACGCATGGCCATGTGCGAGATATGTTCGTAGAAACGAGACAAATCGAAAAACACGGAACCGCTCACCATGCCATGCCGCCGGGCGTGCACCACCAAAAGATTATGAACGTAGGCGGCACGATCCGCCGCCGTGTCGCCAGATTTGCCCCAGAAAAACGAAGCGTCAACCTTGAACTCCCAGCGCCGCACATCTTTCTGCCGCACCCGCGACCATACGCGCCCCCACATGCAGAGGAGCCCAATGGGCCGACGGCCAAGCTGCGGCGGCGGCTTGGGCAAAAACACAAAAATAGTAAGCCACAATTGCGGCACAGCTGGCGACGCCTCAAAGGCATTCAGGATGGCCACGAAGCGCTCCAGCAACGCCCGGCGCCCGCGGATGGAAGTTGTCCCATCCGAGCCCCGTCTGCAAGGAGGAGGAGGAGGAGGAGGAGGAGGAGGAGGAGGAGGAGGAGGGGGAGGAGGGGAAGGAGGAGGAGGAGTAGGAGGAGGAGGAGGAGGAGGAGGAGGAGGGAGGAGGAGGGGGGAATAGGAGGAGGAGGAGGAGGAGGAGGAGGAGGAGGAGGAGGAGGAGGAGGAGGAGGAGGTCCTGGTAGTGCCATGACTATATGGCACACGCGAGGGCGCGAGGAGGATCGCGCGGTCGGGGCCTGGGCTGGGGCGGTCGCCCTGCTCCCGGGGGGGGGGGGGGCGGAGGCACAGGCGGCCGGCGGTGTTCTGTTGGGTTGGCGATCGTTGTTGTTAGTCATTGTTTTGCCGATCGGCGCGGGCCCTCGCACCCCCCCTTCCCCCCCGTAAAGAGCAGAACTTGGCGGTCTCTGGCGCCTGTTTCGAGCAGGTGGGGTCTCCCCCGCAGGACGCGCTGTTGCAAACAGTCGCGCCAAGCAGAGGTCCGGAGCCAGACCCCCCCCCCCATCTCCCCCCCCTTCCGCCCGAGGTCGAAACGACGAATAAGAGAACGCTCACTTGTCGATGCGCGCCCGGTGAGGTCTGGACCCCTGGCCCTGGGGCAGCTTCTCGGGCGGGATGGGCCGTCCCCACCACCTCCTCGCGTGGTGAAATCCATCACGGCGGGAGGCTTGGCGTTGTTTTTGGCCTCTGGGGGCCCTTCCCGGGCCTCGGGACCGTCAACAAAACTGCTGAGGGCGAAAAGCCAGTCCCGGGGAAGGGGTCCAGACCTCTGGGGGTCGACGTCGTGAAAAAGTCACGCCGTCGGGGGTCTGGGCCCTTCAGGTCCAGGTCGGCAGGCCTATGCGTCACCAGGGCTGGCCGTGGACAGAAAAGCCCCGTCGCTCCTCCTCTGGCGCTCCTGGTGGTAGTACAGTCGGGGCCCTGAAGAAGGAACCCTTTTCGTTGGGGAGGGGCTCCGCGTTCCTTTGAGTGTTTCGCAGCTTGCCTCAGGTGTCCCTCATGTTTTCGATCGGAAATCGAGGGTTCACTTATGGAAAGAAGGGGCCTCGTTCCTTACTTAGGGCTCCCTAGGTCGAGGCCCCGACTGCAGCACGCTCGCTCACTGCACTGCGCGCCGCGGGGTGGGGGGGGGGGGATACCCCCGAGAGGCCCCGAGACAGCCCCAAGACGGATCCAAATGCCCTTCGAGCCCTCCACGGCGCCCTCCAAGATGCCCAAACCGTTCAAAAGGGGGGGGGGGGGGGGGGGGGCTAGGGCTCGGGGGGCTGTGCAGCGAGCGTGCAGGGGCGCGCTGGGCTCCCGTGTGCGGCACGGTGCGCGTGAGGGGGCGGGCCGGCACTGTCGTCGCGCGGGGCGCGCGGTCCGCGCGAGAGGTGTGCCGAAAACGGCGCGCTCCAGGGAGGGCCTCTCGCCTCGGAGGGGTCGAGCAGTTGGCTTCCCTTCCTCGGCGGAG